ACAGTTGTTCACCCCAAGACTCAAACTCAGTACCGTTCGTCTTAAACGCCATCGCATTATCCACTTAGCTACTGAGTCCTGATAGCCACTTGCTTGTGCAATGGGATGAAGTTTAAATTCACTTGGTATTATTTACTTGAATCTTCCCATTGTTGTTTAGGACTGCAATTAATCAGTCTCTTATTGGCATTTGTGCACACTGTGAGTATTGCTTCGATATCCATCTCTGCTTATAATGCTTGTGATTTAAGGCAATATCAAAGCAATCCACACAGGAGGCACATATGCTAACAAGAGATTGATCAATACAGCCCTAAACAATAATGGGAAGATAAAGCAAACAGCACCCAGTGAATTTAAAAACAAGATTTTCGAATATTTCAAATGATTATGCTGTTATGATTACTTCGTGTTCGTAATTTAAATCAGTCATTCGACAGTGAAAACATATTAATAGATTGGAATGTTTCATTATTTAGATGAACTAGAAAATGTTATATGTATTCTTTGAATTGGGAAACTTAATGTATTAAACTATTAACGTATTATACCAAAACATTCTTCACCACCTCGGGATTCGAATGTGTTATTTATGAACAAACTCTTCTGAATTAATATGAAGAATGACTGATTGTTTAATAAATCATTTTGTCCTCATAGATTAGTCAGTTTTTCTCGTCTGATAAGTAACCTATAGTTATATTATTCATTGGCTCAATATCTTGTAGAAAAATAACTATATATATATATATATATATATATATATATATATATATATATATATATATATATATATATATATATATATATATATGCGATCTCATTTACAGATGACATCAAAACATTAAGATAATGATTTGGTCAGACTGAGTACTTACAAAACATTTGCTATTGACATTACGTGAAAAGAACCAAAAGCAATGGTTGATTTACATTATTGCATACATAGATAAGTTTTTCTTAATTATATACTGCTCAACTACATAGAATGTAGATAGTTCGAAATATTTTTTTATATTTTTAATGGATTGACAAAATAAAGAAATTATAATCTTGCGTTTATTAACATAACCATTTTCAAAGCAAAATTAAAAAAACTTTTTTCTATTATGAATTCCTGTTGGCAAAATCACCCCATCATAAATATGATCAAGAAAGTGTAAAAGTTTATTCATTCACCGATCCTTGACTATTACATACCCTATTCATTATTTTATTACGATCATTTGTTAATGTTTGCACCATATAACAATTATTACAAGATCAAACTGTGTTAAAATAAATCACAGAGATAATAAGATGAAATTCAGTTTACTACTTGTTCATCAAACATTTGATTGCCTTTCAAGTCCAGTAATCATTATGACCAACTAGTAAAAACGGTTATCAGTTTTTCCTAAATCTCTTAATAATATACATAAGTGTTCGCGCGCGAGACTGATAGGTCCTGGGTTCGAATCTCGCGGGTGCGCACTGCTGAGGAGTCCCATAGTAGGACGAAACGGCCGTCCAGTGCTTTCATGGTGATCTAGCTTCAATTGATTCATGAATCCAGTCATAAAATTACCAAATTTTTATAAAAACCCCTCTGATAATATAAATATTAGTTCTCTTGCCACGATAACTAACAACTTCAGTTCCATTTCTACTTGATCGAAAGAAATTTAAATGAACATTTTATTCCAATATACATTCACAGACAGGAATATAGAAGGGTAGTCGGATGAAATTGATGTATATTCTTTTCAAAGTTAAAATTTTTTATCAACACACGGATGGAACACTCAGACAAAATTATTTATTCAAAATAAAATGCAAATTCTCATATCCAATCAAAGCACCTTATGCTAATTGAATTTGAACTAATTAGATTACAATGCACAGTTTACAGCCAATTAACAAAATTTTACAGGCGACAAAAGGTTTGTTTATCATCATATGAGCACACACAAAAACAAGTTCACCAATCATCTATTTCAATTTTTTTAATTACACCTTAAAATATCTCATCAACGGGGGTGGTGGTAGGGAATCAAAACCGCCGTACAGTAATTTTCAACTATGGATAAGGGTTAAATAAGTTACATCCCCTGAATCGTCTAACAACCAAGGATGTAACTTATTTACTCCAAAAACATAAGAAATTTCATAGACTAAACAACTTCAAATACATTCAAGTCTGATGAATTAGAAATCGAAATGTTTACGCGACCTAAATGTTGCAATATTCTAATATACAAGAAATATATTTTGAATGTATATTCATAAGAAGGTGTTTCACTTGTGTTTATTTACCGATATAGTGATATTTGAGTCCTGTCTTGTAACAAAGAGAAAAATTGGAACTCCATTACCCAAAATGTACTCTAACCAATAAGTATCTGAGTCATTAGATTGGAAATAATGTTTTCATCATGAATTGATGTTAGATAAATCCTTTAGTTATTTCATAAAACATTTTCAATATGTCACCGTCAAAATTCAAGAAAAAGTGGTCTCGTCAACTGAGTGACTTATTTCACTAAGTACGACGTTAAAGATATTGAATTTCCAAATCGAACGTAAAAACATGTTATGAAAACATCTTGGTCATTGTAAATACAATAATGCGCATAACTTCTTTACACAAAGCTTATATGACCGTCATGAAAACTGGGGGCTAGAAAAGACTGTATAAATATAACCGGCATACATATCTCAATTAGTGCAAGGTGTTGGAAACAGTAGCACAATGGTCATTATATATTGGTAAGTGGAAGATTTGATAAAGCAGTCCATCGACACATAGCACTAACAAATTTCATCACAATGTCTTATGTTCCATTCCTGTTGATACCATACCCACTGAAGGTGATAGAGATTTAGAAAAAAAGGAACGACTACTAATACACCAAAAGACAAACTGTTCAGAAATCTAAATCCTGTTCGTGTCAAAAATTTAAATATCATTTAAGACAGAAACCGAATAGATTGTTCATAAACATGTAGCAGATCGTGCATTATATCACCGAAATGAAACGACTTTAAAATACCACAGCCTCATTAGTGGTGTGCTCAGTCTAACTGTGAGGAGTCATGTGGCCTAGGGTATTGTCCGAAAAAATCCCAGGTGCCCGTTTGGCTTTTACCGACTTGTTTCATCTGTTGTACTAGCGATAAACATGTATGAATAGGAGCAAGGATACAACTACTACAATTCGTTTTAAATTACTTCATGACTGTGAGGGATGTTAGGTTGGCTACTAGTATTTGATGACAGATTTCTCCAAAGCCCTTTTCAAATAACTCGGAACCACTGAGGAGTAATGCTAAAATTAAGCATAGATACACTAAGTAAAAATGGTAAATTAATTGATGAGATTGGGAAATTTCTTACTCATATCAGGTCACTTCGTTTATGACAGCTGTCCCAAGTAGTGTAAACCTACTCCCTAGGATGAGTTTTAATCGTGATCTACGATTAAGATAAAAATATGTCTCTATCAAAGCATTGCAGATTTATTGATTCCTTAACTTCCTTTATATATTAAGCTTAATATCATCCTAAGCCTTTTGTCTTTTGATGCTATTCGTATTCACTTTGGATTGTTTTTTATTTGAATTTCCGTTGTAATGGATAATACTATTTTCACTACACTCCGTTGTTCGTATAAAGGTTATGTGGAAATTGTTGAGATCTGTTTGACAACCAGCTCGTGATCTTGACAACTTTCAGCTATATCACTTTCGTCTTTTGCTATGCAAATATAAGATGTAAGAACTTGAACTGATGTAGATTTACCAATATTCGGTATACTTTTCAGCATGATTCACAACTGCAAGTTAAAAGATCAATATATTTTATTAAATTAGTTCTATTCCATTATATATAAGCATGTTGAATACAAACTAAACGAAAACCAAAAACAAATTAGAGTAAGACTAGAAACCTTTATAGGAAAAATCAAATTCGCAATGTCTCTGCACATTAAAAAAAGGATACTTTGTTGTGAAAACCAATCATAAACAAAATATGCACAAATGACAATAATATGAAATATTAAGGATATTAGCAAAGTGAACAGGTAGACTTCTAACTAGTTTGTTTTAATGGATAAAGTAAGAAAAGATAGAAATAATAGTAACACTTAAATAAATAAATTTGCACATTAGGGAATATAACTATAGACACTCAGTAAATCGAAGGTTTACAAAAACACGCCAATCAGCAGCAACTATTATACAATTTTCATTATATTTAAATATAATAACAATACGAATTAAATTACGAGAGAGAAAAATATACAAATTAAGGTAAAATATATTAGAAAAAGATGAAATAAGATACCGTTAATGCAACAAAGAAAAAGACATGGTTGTAAGGTAAATACAACAACAACTACTACTACTACTACTAATAGTAGTAGTAATAGTAGTATGAGTTGATTATGCGCATCTTTCAGAAGACTTTTATACATATTCTGCATTTACATAATAATAATAATAATAATAATAATAATAATAATAATAATTTTAATATTGCACTTACTAGAAACAAAATGAAAAATGATAAAATAATAATTGGAACGGACAAGATAGTATTAGAAAATGTATTACAGGCATTTGTATACTATTATACAGAGAAGATAATTTCAGATTACTTTCATGTTGAAAATGGAGAGTTAGAAAAAAAAGAAGAAATTTAGACGTCAGCTCAAACTATACACAATTACAAAAATCAGTAATGTTAATTTAAGTCGAAAAAAGTCAGTAGAAAAAAACAACCTCCTCCTTTCACCTTCAAATGTAACAAAAGTAAATGAATTTGCTCATGGGCAATATAAAACATTAGCTTACATTGAATAATCAGATACCTAATTGGCAAAATCAATATTATATATATTTATATGATGAACGGAAGGAAGAGTAATATAACAACTTCATGTTTAATTTATGTATAGATGTGTAAGGCTGGAAAATGAATATACAATTTATGAAACACTTTTTCAAGTTATACTTTTTTAAGCATAAAATTCTCTTGTTGGTGCTCTTGTATAAGTGTCAACTGTGGGTAATTTTTTCGGTTCATCCAAAGCATAAGATCCTTCATCTTTTTTACGTAAACGATAAATACAGAATAGAATAAGCAAAATTAACAATAGTAAGACAAGTACTACACTTCCAACGATACCTAGAATAGTAGGAAAAGAAATTGGAAGCAACAAAAGCAGACAAAAATTACGTCACAATGCAATCCCATTAGGTATAGAAAATCAGACATATAAAAAAAGACGTGTCAGAAAATTGATTGTTACTTGAAACTTATTTTACATTGTTCTATGTCGAAATTTCATCCACGAATTTCTAAGGCACAGAGTAGAACCAGTAACATATATGCATCGGGTCGAGTTGCCATACCACAGTAGCACAACGAGATTAACACCAAACTCATAAAAGCAGTTACTTCAATGGTAGTAAAAGAAACGTTTCATATACGGACACGATAAAAGGAGAAGAATTAGTTTATAGAAAGAAAGGTATAAAGTAATCTTAATCTCACGGTTTAAGGGAAGATAAAGAGTGATACACCGACGCCATTGTGATCGATTCTGAGTCATATCACACAGTCTCCAACCATTGATTACAATAGTTGCGTGGACTCCAACCAAGTAGTCTGCATTTACCGACATAGCTCAGAACAGAAGTTAGTGACTTCAAGCATTGATGCCACATTTTGGTTTGGCCGCCCCTAACTTTCTTCCATCCGTCTCCAACACTAGTCAGTATTACGTATCATGATAAACGGTGTTCAGGCATACGAAACACGTGGCCCAACAATCTCAGTCGATGAAGATTCACAACCTCATCAACTGATTTACCATCATTCCCTAATACCCTGCGTCTAACCTCAGTATTACTTACCCGGTGGTCCCAGTAGACGCCAGCAATATTTCTAAGGCATCTGTGGTCAAATACTAGTAGCTTACGAGTATCTTCGACTCTTAATGGCCATGCTTCGCAGTCATAAAGTAAAACAGAACGAACTGCTGCTCAGTATACTCATCCCTTAATTGATAGATGGATATCTCGCCTTTGCCATAAGTGACGTAAGTTCACTAGGTCTATGATGAAATCTAACAAAAATGGAGATAATGGACAGCCCTGCCGGACACCACTCGAGATCGCAAAAGCAGATGACAGTTCGCCATAAGCTCTGAGTAGACTGGCAGTGTTAGAGTAAGGAGCCTTCATAAGGTTTATGCACTTCTGATGTATACCTTTAAATGACAGACACTGCCACAGAACTTCTCGGTCAACAGAGTCAAATGCTGCTTTCAAGTCAACAAAAACCATCATTTTCGGACGCTGATAAGCATTCCTGTGTTCTAAAACCTGACGAATGGTGAAAATATGGTCGACGCAGCCACGGTCAGGTCTGAAGTTAGACTGGTCTTCTCTTATTCTCACTTCATATTTTTTTGTTAGGCGCCCGATAATTATTGAGGCTGGTGTTTTAGACGCTATGTTAGTCAAACTAATCCCTCTATGGTTATCACAAGATGATTTTGACCCCTCCTTATATTTTGATGGAGTTTTGTTCTCTGAGCTAGATGGTTTGGTAATGGAGCTTTCATCGTTCTTCTGAATGACTTCATCAGCACAAACTTCAGGTAAAAGTGAAGTGTTCGAGTTTCTCCACATGTGGTTCACAGCTTGTTCTGTACACCTCGATGTTGATTGGTTCTTGTTGACCTTAAATCTGTCATCGTACCTTGGGTTTGCTGCTTTCAGTCACACAGCTCTTCAGTTAACCTGTCTGGCATGGTAGGACCTTGAGGAACGATTGTTCCGGCCAGTATAGACCGATTGGGTCATCACGAAGTTAACCAAAACGATATGCACACAATAGGAAATTTCAGATGAGATACAATTTTAACAACTGCTATCAACAAATCTCAATGCCCAAGTTAACCTTACAAGATTTTCGCAACGGATTTCGAATGTACACTGAATAACTCACGGCATTTTTTGTATCCTATTTATGTCATATACATACGATAATGTTTAATTAACTTCACTAGGTTTCCAAGCTAAAAACACAGGAATAGCGGTCAATTACGACTAAAGTACTCATCATTTAACTGCCTTACTCAAACATATAAGTACAACACGTAATAGTAAATAACTTAAACAATATGTCAGACGTTTTAATCAAACTATCCCAAAGATTTGTACTTTATATAATATAGTATTCTGATCCATAGTTAAAGTATTCGGCTTTCAGCTACTAGTCTACAAGCTTGAACCCCTCTACATTTACATACTTCGGCTTAAGCAACCAATTAGACAGAATGAAATTTTCTACATATACTAAAGGACAGATTAAAACAAATGAGAATTTACTATAAAATTGTTAGGGATGCAGAGGAATATACCAATAATTATCGTGTTAAGTCTAATGGTGTCCTTGGACGTTAAATGGACATTCCCTATTGGTCGATATTTACTTCACTCGTTAAATATTGTGTAAATGTTGTTTTCTATTTTATGGTACGATGTGGTTTGTTTGTTTGGTATATAAATAGAGTATGTCTGAAATATAATGATTCATATCTCAGAGGCTAAGACTTGCGTTCTGGACTTAACTGGCCGTTCGTACGTGTTTTCCGTGTCATTGAATCGATCGATAAAACGATGATCTCTAATCTGCAGGATCACAGTCACAACAATAATTTTCTTATAACATCTAAGTGGAACAGTAAACTAACATTAGTACTAGTACTAATGTTACTACTATGGACATTTCAGCTTAGACAATGAATAAAACTTCAAAAATTTGTAATTACACTACGAGATAAAACAGAATTAAGCATACATAGTTTTAATATTGTTAGTAGGTTTCGACTAAGTGAAAAATAAATGAATAAATATGACGAAAATGATCAGCGATAGTAAAAGTTTTTATTGCATAGACCATGAAATCATGCTTTAAGCAGTATTATACAATCTAAGAGCACAAACTAATTAGCTATGATATTAAATGCTTACCAGCTATTACACCAGGTTGACTTAAAATTTTTGATGTTGATGTCCCAGAATTCCATGACTGATGAAGTGATCTACTATGTATTGAGGTTTGACGTACAGCTGAAACACCGCCGCTTAAAGTATTCGGTTCAAAAGGTCCAAGTTTATGTGCTACATTTTCGGAGGATGACGATGATGATGATTTAGGACCTAAAGATTTTAAACTTGATGCTTCATGTGAAAGGAGATAGGAATTTTCGCTCGTTTCTATGAACAAAAATGTCATAAAATGAAAAAAGGATAAAAACGAAAGATGTCTGAATGCTTCCTGAAATAATACAAGTAACGGAAAAGTCGTTTGAATAAAATTGTTAATGAATAAAACTATTGAGTTATGATGATACAATCCATACTTGAAACAAGGCAGCAAATTCATACAGAAAAAAAATTAATGACTTATGGTTTTGGATTTTACTTTCCTTAGGCTCTATACACTCGTCTGCTTGTTGTATCTAACTGCTCTGTTTTCAGTTCCAACTATTTGAAAGAACGAGTGCATGTTAAAATTTTGAAGACCACTGATGGTTTTTTTTAGAAAAAAAAACATTCTTTACACAGAAACGATTACTTGGAGTGCGCATATGCAGAGGTCAGAAATTAATTTCAATGTGAAATTATATGCTAAAAAGTTTTCAGTGGATTAAACTGGTAACAAACGACTGTATTTAAGTCTAGTGGAATGACTTTTATATGAATTCTGTACCTAAATATAGAGAAAGGATTTTGAAAACAGTTGTCAGTCATATGGACTGTAGAACCTAACACATTCGCGTCGGTTCACGTTGTCATACTATATTAGCACAGTGAGATAAAATTACCAAAAGAAATCGAAGTGATAATAGTACAAGCAGTACAAATAGTGATAGAAAAGATTAGATGTGAAGGCAAGGATAAAATTTTAGAGCTCAGAATTAAAATAAAAACAAAGAGTGAATGGACCTCTACTATTGACGACCATGTTAAGCCATATCATCCAGTCTCTAACCACTGGTTACGATAACCGCGCAAACCTCAAACGGATAATTTTCACCTACCTACATTTCTATAAAATTCTTAGATATTAAAAAAACTGGGATAAAAAAATATCAAACACATCTTTACAGACAAATTTTATAAATTTTTCCCCCAAAAATACATGTTCAATGATAAGGATAGTAGACATAAAGAATGTTACAATAATGATTATTTTGACTGTAAAAGTTAGCATATATATATATATATATATAGTTACCTGAACTTCTCACTGCAACCATTTTATGCCCAACTGTTGGTATTAAAGATTTAGACTGTTGATGTTGTTGTTGAGATATTTCATTTTCAGAAAAATGAAAATTAATCTAAATAAAACATTTATAAAATAAAATATTAGGATTGAATTCTATTTATATTCACTAAAAATTAAGATATTTAATTGTCATATAAAGGAGAATATATATATATATATATATATATATATACATATATATATATATATATATATATATATATATATATATATAACAAAATTTAATAGGTAATATTTTAATTAAAATATTCATTGATAGCCGAAAATAGTAATAATTAGGAGGATACCAATCTAATTGAAATGTTAACGGTTATTTTAAACTTTAAAATGAATAAGGTTTATTATAGGAACTATGATTATTATTACTTATTATCATTGTTAATAATATTGTTTTTATTTTTGTAGTTCAGTTACATTTTAGGTAAACAACTAAAAACCGATTTGTGAAATAAGAATAGCTTGTGAATAAGTAGTGTTTTTTTAAGAAAGAAAGAAAGAAAAGTGATGAAAATGGGTTAGTTGAATATGAATATAATCTTATTTCTTATTTAATAATACGTAAGAATATAAACAAAAAGGGAAAACGATTGATTTAGGTCATTTTAGTTTTATTTCAATTACCTAACGCTTTTAGTAGACTGATGGAGCAAAGATAATTTATCAAAAATTAGATATTTCCTTCTTTAAAAAGTTACATTCAAGATAATGACTAAAGTGGAATAGTCGACTTGATATTTCAAGGATTGTGGATTCTAACCCTAGTTCATAGGCTTCTGTTTGAATAAGCAAGTATTTTCACTGACTTTCGTATCAAAAGTGTGAGCCTGAAAGCACAACAAATGAATGTATATTAGAGTTAGTAGGTTTATTTTTTCCCGCCTCATAGGTTACTACTGAAAGGTTAACAACAATATTGCATCTAAAAATCAATCGCTTCATTGAATGCAAACAAAAGCAAAATTCTAACTTACTTGTTTGTCTGACAATAAATCTTCAGATTCATGAGATGCTAAAGGTGCTGGGTCTGCGTAGATAAGACGTGCGGATAAGGGAAAAATAAATTCCAAAAATAATTATTGATATTGGTAACAATAATAATGTAACTGAATAAATAAGTACAGGTTTGTTTGATCCAGTTTCAGTGACACGTTTCATGTAAGAGCTAATGATACAACTCGGTTGACCAAACCTTAAACGCCGACTTGAATTTACAATCTAATAAAAAAACTAGTAGTTTTCTTTATATCGTGATAAGTTACGGTATTAAGGAAATTACTTACTATTCGACAAAAAGTAGACGTAAAGCTATGCAATATGAGTTTGAATGACTTGTGAGAAAAAAAGGAAGAGAAAATAAGACAAAAACAAACAATCAACGGGTCGCACTAATAAAGGTATTTAATTAAACCTTCAGGACAGTCATTCAATTGATGGTAGTTAATATTCAAACTAGAACAAACGTGTGTTAGCTCAAGTCATTATACCACACTAACATGAGATGAAGTTAACATAATAACTCCTAAAAGAGTTAAGAAAATGTAACAGCAACGATAATGAAAAAGACTAAGCACTATGAATATGGTTCGAAGAGAAGCGGTGAAGAGGTACAGGTGAAGAAATTCTGAAACTCTGGAAGACAGTGAATGCATCTCCTTCATCATGACCGATTTTAAGCAACCACTCAACAATTACAACTATTAGTTAAGATAATCGTGAAGACATCAATCAGGTAGTCTGCATCCAACAACATGGCTCGATACAGTTATCAGTGACTTCAAGGACTGATGCCATATCTTGGTTTGGTCTCTTCTGGTTTTCCTCCAACTTATCACTACTCTGAATAGTATTATGTATCGTGGTAAGTAGTGATTAAGAGTACGTAACACAAACCTACCTCAGTCGATGAAGACCCACAAGCTCATCGAGATACCATATTTTCTTATTACCTTATGCCTAACTTCGGCATTGGTCATTCGGTCGTGTGAAGTGCCGATAAAATGGAAAAATTCAATTGCACTTCATGACAAATATTTAGAAGAACCTTGAACAGTATAGCAGAATACAAAATCAAAATTTCCCATCTGAGTTGTAAACCTACATTTAACAGAAACTGAATGAGTATCAATTTTACTTTTAGGAGCATGTGGGGCACCACTAGTAATTAATATCAGATTGGTATAATAACTTATTAGTTTACTTACTAAACTGTGTGTTATTATTAGATAACGAAAAACTAGTTACTTATGTCTGAGTATTCAGGAGCTGGCGCTTATTATTGACCCATAAATGTCCACAACTCATAGCTTATCAGGAAAACATATATACAGTTTGTGTGTAAGAGTAAAATTATTCTTTTAAAATGTTTCCTAGATCTGTAAAGTAAATACTTTATCCTCGTGTCTAACATTGGTTCTCACGCATGCTAATCTGAAAGAACCTAAAATAAAATGAAAGTTGAGAAGTCGTATTGTACGTACGCGATTTCTTTAAAACGTTTGATAGACATTCAAGTTCACAGTCCCTGAAACTGAAATATGCTGTTTTCGTCTGTTTTACTCGCAACCCATGAATATTGAATCAGTAATCTCAGAGTATAATTTAGAAAGCACGTATATATTCATGGTAGCCTAAATCAAATGTTTTTTAAGAGGAGCTAACTTACCTTTGTCAAAATATTAACCAAAAACTATACGTGCTTTTATTTGTGCTCATCATTCTTCTTATGCCCATTATGGATTTATAATGGCTAAGGAGCTGAGTGAGGACATTAGGACGCATACACAAATATAAGTTAGATGTATTAGAAACTATCCGCTGGTATTATGGTGTATGCTACTTATGGCGACAGACACAATCAGTATGTAACACCAATCGGAAGTGGAAACCCTGGCAGCAGAACGCTAAGAAGATCGAGTTGAAGAGAACGGAAGAGAAAAAAAAGAATTTTGAACTAGAAGAATCATACAGAATGTGAAGGACAAACGATGAAAATTCGCAAACGAAGTATTTAATGTATGGTTCTCATATTTTACCAAAGCATTCTGTAATTTTACATGAAAATACATGGGGTCTCTCCACCTCTGTCTTTATCTATTGCAGTATCACCTGGTCAATTATTTTCTAGAAGTGGAATATTACTAAACACTTTCTATGTGCCTAACAGCTTTTTTAACCTATATTTTGAACTATATGTATTCGAAAGATACATCTTATTACAAACCAAAGTTAACTGAAGTCATTACCTGGAATTTTAGGCTCTAGGATTTTTACATAGCTTATACGTGGATCAACAGCACCAACATCTGATAAAAATCCTTCGTGAAGGCGATTTTCCAAAAGATCCTGAGGTGCTTGCAAAGAGCTATGACCAGTAGAGGTCAGCTGGACTTGATAGTATGCAAATTCGGAACTGTTATGCAAATTTTGAACATCTGGAATGGCGGATATGCGAGTAACGCTTGTTACTTGTTGAAATCCAACAGCTGAACGTAAAATTCTTTCTATGCTGTTTTTTATATGTAACTTTAAGGAGGCATCGGAATCCCATAGCACACCATCAACATCACCAGTCTCAGATGAACTTTCTTGACGCGGTCCGCCAACAACAGAAGTCGGCAGGATACTTCGTGCGTGTAAAGCAAGCAAAACTGAATAAACGGCTGAAAGAAAACACAAAAATGAATAACTTATGGGAGTAGACAAAAGTAAACAGTTTAGAATTTGAAGATATTGACTAAAAGAAACATTAAATTTTTATTACTGATTGATGTTATGGTACTCTGAGATGGAATTTATACATACGGAAAATCCGCTCACATCATACTTCAAGATTCTCATTGTATTCTTAGTAAGCTTCAGGCGATTATATAGAAATTCAGTATTCTTAATAAGACAATCAACAGTCTGCACCTGGTTCTGTAGATATTAGGACAAATCGTTTGCCTTAGTACCCATAGGGATAATTAATAAATCTTTAGCTACAAAAATAAAAAACTAAATTAGAAATGGACCAACCTAGAGAGCCAACGAGTTGTGCTGAAATATATTGTCATGCTAGTTACCAATTCATTAAATTATCATAACAAATTAAGCTGTTACAGCCGTCATTGTTGAAATAAAAAATATGCAAAGAGTTAAGCAAATAAACAAGACATAGAGATCATAGATTAAGCCACCAATCAATGGAAACAGGTAAACAACTAAGGTTTCCAATGCATATATAAATAGTGCAGAAAAGGACCATGAGTATATTCCATGATACTATACAAATCCTCCATACAGTTCGAAGCATTAGGTACACAGTTATTTTAAGTGTTTGAAGGGAACCAGACTTATTTGCTCGCTTAGTTTAGTCAAAATAAACACTTATCTTCCTAAGGTGACCCGCATGAGTCATCAATCTTCACATTACCGCCACTGAACTATCAAGACAAAACTCGTCACCACAGTAAATTAATAATCTGCATAGCCCAATTACTAGGCGGTGATCAGTCTCAACAAGTAGTGTAGCTCCTAGTATAAGTAGCTTGTAGATTCTGACCAACACTGAAAAGTAAAATATGGTACTGGTTACTATCTGGAAATTACGTTAACGGTGGAATTAACGTAACCTTGTAGTATAATATACGCATGAGTCCAATATTATGAAAAGTGATGACTACGTTAGGGTTAACCGATCTAGTTACTTGTTGCTAATTTTTTCGAATTTTGAACCACAGCCCATGTCGTGTCACATGAAAGGAAAGTGAGACGTCCTACTGTCTGTTTACGGTGTAATATACTTCATGCCAATTCGTCCTGGTTTTCTTAACACCTTTGAAACATGTCATGTTAAACAATAATTCATATTTTGCACAACATTAATATAAAAGCAAACACGAAACCTAAAAAAGTCTAAAAAAATTAGGAAGCAATCCTTTTATTAAATTTTTACTGTAACTTTTTCACACAAAAACGCACGTATCTAGCAGTTTCACCGTGTGGAAGTAGGTTGAAATAAAGTTAAGGGTTGCCAAGCCAAGACCTGAAATCAGTCCTTAGAGACCCTGACAACTGCATTGAGCCATATACTTAGATCTTGAAAGCCCTATATACAAACACCTCAGGTAGATTGAGGGAATACAACCACCTCTCATCATTGTTTCATTCAATGTCGTCCCAGAGAATTCCTTGTCGTGCATTATTTGCCGACGCTGGGACTGGTTGGAAAAAGCAGAGAGGTGGCCAATGTATGAAATGGTGTCGTGGTATAAAACAAAGTTGTACAGGACTAGGTTCTGTAGGTCTTTTATGAAATCTTGGTTGGAGTCCTAGGGATGATGCAACACAGTGGCTAGAGACGTCATCAAACATGGCTCAGAATAGTAGTCAGTGGCGATCCTGCCGTAACTTGCTCTTACTTCCTTCGTAAAAGATTAACGTAACTTCTTTAGCTGAAAGAATTTCTTATGGTTATATACTGATCTGTCTCTCCCATTATTATTATTTCACTACGATACACTAATTTCTGTTCATTGTTGTCCTCTTATTGTACGCACTTTACATTCTCAATCTCTTCACAACCTTATTTTTATTGTGTGGTGCATATGTATTTGGTTCCCCCTTGTACCAATGAATATGTATTCAAATAAATAAATAGATAAGATCCAGGTTACCTAACTGAGGTCCTCATGATTGCCATAACCAATGGTTGGAAATGTCGAGTGACATTGTTTAGAACCAGTCGCAATCAAGCAGATACATTCACTTGTTCTTCATCAGACCTTGAGTCCTAAAATTATATTATATTGTTTATTTCATGAATTCATCTTTTCTCCCTGCTTCATATCGTATATTTCCAACTTTCCACTACCACTGATACTATTACTTCTGCACCTCTGGTATTCGTTTCGGTAATTTCACCAAGCTCTGATATTATGGTGTGGCAACAAACTGATGCCAGGTTTTACGTAAATTACCGCTGATTGACTGTATTTCACTATGTATGACTGATAAAGACAAATAAAACGCTTAGCGTTGCACTAATGTTAAAATACAACCATCAAATGGTTTCTAAAATGCTCTGAAGTTTTATTAGAATCAGTCGCAAGAAAAATCTTAAACCGTCAATTACTTATACACATACCTGTAGAACAATCTCCTACTTCAACAGGGCTTGCACGTGTACCCAATAGTGTTACTCCAGTAGTTACATTGACACAAAAGCAGTCATACTCATTACACTGTCTAGCAACATACAAGTCTGGTCGGTCCAGACGACACTGTGGAATATATGCAGACACTATTCTCCCGTCTTCATCAGTCCCATAAAACTGATGGTTTGTAAATGTTTTATTTCTTAAATATAGTGGGTTGCCTGGTGATTTGTCTCTCTCCGATTTCCCATTCTGCACTATCTGGTATTGAATTTCCCGTACAGTGTGCTCGCAGTTAGCTGTATAACAAAAAAGCAATTTGATATGACTACGGTTATTTTAATAATTTTCTAGAAAATGCTGCAAATAGAAATTCATTCTGGAAGCTCTTGCCAATGGTGAATGTAAATGTGACACTGATAGAGCCTTACATGGACCGCCACTCAGTGTTCACAAGCCTTCGTAGTTGGACAATATGAAATCAGTGTATGGACGGACAGGTAGGGTAAAAGTTGATATGCTGAAGATTAAATATTATGTAAGTTTCTTTATTTTAAAAGTAGCAGTCACCTCCTAAAATTCTCAAAATATACCATCAACAATTCCTATCGGTTTACTGATGCTTTACTGCAAAATTCACTACAGAATACGCGTCCCATAGTACTACCAGAAATAAAATAAATTGTAGAGATGTACGATACAAAAAACCTACGTATGGTAGCTACCATAGTGTTATCCATGTATCTGCTTGCACATCCGAACTTACATAAAAATGTTGTAGAAACCGTCAAATTAGATTTACTAAACTTCCTAAATGAATACGCATGGTGTTATGGGTGTGAAAACTTAGTTTACAATGTGCATTCGTTACAGCACCTCCCTGACGACGTTCGTGCACATGGACCTTTAGATAGTTTTTCAGCCTTTCCATTCGAGTCTTATATGAGACAAATTAAGGATTCCGTGCGTGGTGGGTTTGCAGTAGCTAAGCAAGCAGCACAGCGTTATGCTGAGAGAATGTCCTTCAGTGATAGGCTTCAAATTAGTGGTTTAACAAATACTACCGCAATAGGCGCTAATGATGTCTCCATTAAGCAAGTAATTATGTTTAACAACAGCAAAATAAGTTCATATAAACCGGATAATGTAGTAGTAGTTAACGGCCAGCCCGGTTTAGTTACTGACATAAAGGAGGATGGACTACTAAAATTTAGGACTTTCATTGACCCACGCAATTACTTTGAAGATCCTTTCCCATCTAGTGATATTGGAATCTTTATGTGCTCCGTAGTTAGCCATGAATACACATGGGTTTCGGTTAAGGACATTGATTGTAAATGTATAGCCATCAATTGTACCAATTACATAGTTGTAATCCCATTGTTGCACACTTTATTGTAAATGCATTTCGTTTCATTAGTGTTTAATTAATGATGATAAACCATTTACTTACGTCTTATGTTCTTTTCAGCCCACTAACAAGAAATACGTTATTGTTGACGTCCTAAAAAAAAACAACTTATGATAGCATCAAAGGACTGGATAGTTGGCAATGACCTTTTCCTTTTTCCGAACGAGCTGGTCGATATACACCTGCAGAAGTGCGACCAACCGAATGAAAATTGGTCGCTCATGAAATGTAAAGTGATTCACGAATTAGGTAGGGGACATACACATAAAGTATAATTCACTATAGATTCTCTGCAGTCGGCAAAAGATCTGTTAGTGGCCCTACAGATACTGGAATCTCAGCGGAAAAACACCTCAACAGATGAAAACACTTTGCCACTTAACAGTGAGAAGCCAAAAAGGTCTGTACAATAATCTTACTTACATTTCCTAGGGGTGTAATGAAACGTAAAGAAGATTTTCTTTACAATTCAGTCGACATGGATGTGGCTGAGATGCAGGCTGGGAATAGCCGCGTACAATATCCAAAATTTCGTGTTTTCGACAAAGTGATATCTCCAATCGCCAAGTACGTTTAATTACTATTTAGATATTCACTATTTAGTTCAACACAATTAGAGACATCACCATCCACATCGGAATGTAAGCATGTTGGTGGCGCTGTATTGGACCAGTAAGTAACCTGCATTATCTAGTGACCTTTTTCACCTGTGATAGTTTGTATACTGTGGTGTTGAAGATTTCGTCAGCTATGAATGACTTGACTAAAACGATTAACAACATATCGTCTGCCATTATAGACTTGAATGCTAATGTAAACCAATTGCTTTCAAAGTCTAATGAGCGCGAAAGACCGCATCAATTCGATTGCGGACTGTCAAGTCAGCAGTTCCCTTTGTCATCTGAAGAGGAACTACAGATGCTAGATACTGGTTTGTCGCAGAAAGAAACCAGGGACAGATTTGTAAGTCATTTACATGAATTTAATAATTTGTTACTATTACAGATGGCAATGGTCATTAGGTTATCATGTGACGATCCAAAAACGTCCATGCGTTTTATTCTGTCGCATCTGCTGACACCGGAGGTGGCCAGTAAATTCACGTTACTTGGCACCTTTTCTAAACGAGCACTACAGAAATGCACGTTTTACAGCTGCATACGAAGTAACTTATATCTATTACTTAAACTTCAGGTGCCTTAACTCATTGGTTTTTGTCATCCTCTGTCAACGAGAAAGACCTTGGTAAGCTCTACGACATCGCGACACAAGGTTACTTTCACGACATCCGAGACAAGATGATAAAACGAAATAGGAGAAAAGAAAATCAGGTATGTACTAATTTAAAGTGATAACTCCCCTACGGCTCTATAGTTACAGTCAACAATACTAACAAACATAACCGTAAGTTCAGCTTCAAGTATTTGGTTGTGCCAAAGCATGTCATTGAGATATGGCTGTGACTATTTTTTTTTGTTTTTTTTTAAAATTCAGAATTCACAGGACGACTACCTCAATTGTGATTAGTCCGTGTAATTGCTTTGATGTTGTACCTCGATTTCAATAAACATTCTTTCAAACAGCTTACTCTTTTACCTACATGGGAAACTGTTGAAGTGTTGAGAATGTGTGTTTGAGTTTCAGTGAACTTTTGATTAAATGCACATTTCTTATGAATAAATTATAACCTGTTCGTTCTTTTTCAGATAATTTCAAATAACAATGAATTAGCAATTGCATCGGATATGCATAACAATCGATGCTTCAGCTTGTGCTCTAATGTACAATAATACGCTTTTCCTTTAAAATAAAATTTTTGAAATATTTACCGCTTTTCCACTGCATTGCAGATATATTTTGGTCTGTTGTTGAAAATAAAGGCGAACATAGGAGACCTTTGGGGTTCTGTCGACGGATAGAAAATAGTAGGTAATGTGTGTATTCAGGCGAAAGGTAGACAATTAAGCGCATAAGTAGGTAATTCGGCGGATATTTAGGCGAAAATGCGACAATTCAGCGGATATTTAGGCTAAAATGCGAAAAGTCAGCGGATATTTAGGCGAAAAGGCAAAAATTCAGCGGATATTTAGGCGAAAATGCGAAAATTCAGCGGATATTTAGGCGAAAATGCGATAATTCAGCGGATATTTAGGCGATAAGTCGGTTATTTGTCGACAAAAAGGCGAAAAAGGGGAAAACCCGCATTATTTCCCCCGGACAGGCGAAAAAGGCGACATTCTGATGCGTTTTCCCCTTTATTTCCCCTTTCGCTACCAAAGCATTTTCCCCTTTATTTCCCCTTTTTGGGTTGTCTGGGAGGTAGAAATTAACAAAAAGCACCACATTTCTTGTCAAGCGCGATAGAAATTCGAGCATGCCACATCATTATAATACATACAAATTCGCTAGAATATTATGCAACTATTATATTATGCATAAAAGTATTGTTCTGAAAGCAGTGTTTCACCAGGCCGAAATGAGGTGCCTCATCTTTTTAACGAAGAATCAAGTCAAACGTTCTTTATTTTAGAAAAAACTCATTAATGCGGTAGTGTTTTTTAGACATCAATGGGCCATTTTCTACATATTTTTGAAAATAATAAAATTACTTGTTCACTTGCCGTTTAAAATTGGAGGGTTATCAATAACGGGAACAATTAGTCCATTTTGAGCGTAAACATACAGATTATATGGAGCTACGTTTTCAAAGAAACGGTATGCCAGATACAGGAAAATACAGCGTAAAATAGGAGCACCCATTGAAAACATCTGAACGATGCGGGATATCTTAGTTCATGGTGAATCAACAAGGTTAAACAAAAATGTCAACCATCACATAAAAGATGAGACATCCGAAAACAATAACATGATCACAAATCATGAGGTCGATAAACCTTTAAGATATATCGATACCAATTTTATACCCAATTATTTTTATTTTTTCCATTCATTATGGGAATACTAGACTCCGACATCACCTTAAAATGCAAAGAACCACATCAACGGCATAAACTTCAGCGAGAAGTGCAGTGTTTGAGTTTCCTCACAGATGACCCACAGCTTGATTAGTTACTTTTGACATTTAACCTATCACTGTTTACTTCTTTATTTTGATAGTATCTTCCGCTAATTTGATTCTTGGTCCTATATTTGTCTACGATCTTGCTGCTAGATCGATAGATTGAATAGATTTCAATGTGCCTTTTTATTGCTGGTTGATCTGAGTTCCAAGCTCCCTAAAATCCTCTGGCGTCTTTTGAATTCACTCTATCTAAGATCTCAACATTCTTCCGGTCGGACGTGCTTCCACATTTGTCCACATACATTAAAATCTGCTATAGGGGTGATTTAAGGGTAGTGACGAACTGTGGTATGTTGTAGGTTGGAAATATATGCAGATCGATAGGATTCAAATTACACAAATTCGTAATCACTTAAAGCATTTAAAAATATAATAATGGACGTCCGATTCCAATAAGTAAATTACGAAATTGTAATGAGACTACAAAATGTAAAATCATAGCGTCTTGTTTGATTGGGATCGAATAGGCGGTTAATAATAATAATGTATTTCTGCGTGAGCAGGTACACGCCATTTTTACAGGCATGATCTACAAATTACAACACTCTTTGGCTCACAGCATGCTTCTCAACTTATTAAGTTTGTAGTTGTTATAAAGTAGACTCGTAGTTTGCTTGCTGTAAACCATGACCTGAATGAGACGCGTACATCAAGTTTGTTCCAGACTTCAGAAGTTCCATAGCTGTGCCCTCGGAGCAAGATTCTGAAGAAAAAAGAGAAACAGAAGAGCAGCAAGGCACTTGGATATGAACTCTAAACCTTGCTTAACATTTTTCAGTAGAACAGACAGAGGTATAATAAATCAGAATAAATTCATATTATCTCTTGTTAGAGTGAAATGAAGTCAGAAGCTCCATATAAGAGAATGTAGTAATAAAGAGCAGTGAGTTGTGACGTTTAAGAAGTTGGAGTAAGCTCACATGAAGGAAAGTCTAGGTTGGTACAAGGAAAGCGGTTCATTAGAAGGGAGTGTGCATATAGAGGGTGAAGTGTTAAGAATACTAATAACTATCTTTTATTGTCTAATTTTTTCCTTCTTTCTTTTGTCCATCTGACGCCAACCACACAATCCTAGTGTAAAAGTCCGAGTTAGCATGCTACAGGTTGTCTTAGTACAATAGCCAATCCAGAATAAAACTGGAAACATGAGTCTGAGTGGTGAGCGTAGGAAGACAATCTATATCACAGATTGATTGACTTATTCTCAATCATAAAGAGCCTGATACATACAAAATGTTCTGCCCCACAAACACGGGTGGATTGAAGTCATCGACCTTACCATCAATGCTTGCTGGTCAGTAACTCCACCCTCCCTCCTTTTGTGATGTTAGGCTCATTGAAGCTTATTTTTGGATATATGTCATACCTCACACAATCATCTGTGTTTCAGATCCTCTTGGAAACACCATTTCTATAAGTACCACTTTACAAGCTTATCAGACAGTTACAAGTTATGGACTGTGGGTAAGACATAGATGCAGTGCTTTAATTGACTATAGTATAAAGTGTAGTTTGCCAATTAGAGTATAAGCATTGAGAAGGGTATAATGTAGGACAGTTGTTTATTAAAGTAGGCGTAAGGTACACAAGTATACGAGTTGTAGATAAGGTAACGAGTGGAGAAATAATATTAATTGCTAGTCAACATAGTGTACAGAGGAGTAAAAAGCTAATAAAGAAGAAACAGGAAGAAACTCACACTAATTCGGTACTGATGTGATTTTGTGTTGTCCTAACCACTGGTTATTGGTCGAGGTGTAGATGTTTTAGAGTTAATCTTGGTTATTTGATATCTGTTCGTAAGAAAAGACTTAATCCAGTGCAAAAGGGGATTTATAATTCCAACTGACTTAAGTCTGTTGATTAGAAGATTATGAGGTACTTCACCAAAGGCTTTCTTAATATCGAAGTACGGCATAATAACTAGTTTCTTCTGGTCACGTATACGAGTAACCTCGTTAAAGAAGTCTATCAGACATGTACTGCACGACCCTGTCCTAATGAAGCCGTGTTGTGACGGGTCTTTTAGATCTTCCTTAAGTAGGTGATCAGATTGTTGATTTTGTATCACTTTTTCCACTATGCGTGATATGACTAGAGTGATATTTATGAGTCTGTAGTTTTCGACCAGGTTTCTCGGTCCGGATTTGTGTTTGGGAAGAACATACGTTACCATCCAGGTTTCCGGATATGTACTTATCTCTAAAGATAATGTGTATATTTTGAGTAGTAGCGTCTGTATGTCCGGCCCTGACATTTTATTAAGGATTGAAGGGGTGTCATCGGCACCAGAACTCGCATTTGGCTTAAGGGTTTTAATGACGGTATGTATACTCCTAATGTCGAAGTTTATGGTGCTAAGATAATTTTTGCTGATGCACTTTATGTTGTTATCTGTGGTATGAGATGTATTCTCATTGTGTTGTCCAGTGCTTCTTGAGTTTCAATTTCATCTTGGCGACCAGCAAGTGATTATCTGATGCTATATCAGCTCTTCTCACATCCTCCATCATCCTCCTGAACTTTTTGTTGATGCAGATATGGTCGATTTGGTTTTACGTAGTGTGATCCGGTGAAGTCCATGTGATTTTGTGAATGCGTTTATGTGGGAATGTAGTGCTGCCTGTATCCAGTTTATTGAAGGCACATAGGTTTGCAAATCTCTCACCATTTTCGTTCCTTGCTCCCAGTCAGTCCATATCGTCCTGTAGAATTATGGTCTACTATAATATTAGTACTGCTCTAATAATAGGCCTAATCCTTAAATTGTAGATTTGTTATGATATAACTGCCTAATCTATAAGATCTTACGTGGAAGTCACACCATCAACTACACCAACTCACTGTATCGTATCAATTACCAATACACGATGTAGAACAAGGTGTGGCTAGAGAAGGAACAATACATTTAGTATGAATAGAAGATATAAGGTAACATTCAATAGGGACCACGCCTGCATGACCGAGCCATGCCATCCGATCAACTCCAATTCATCCAATTAACTGTTCCCGCCTTTTCCATCGTTAGGTATTTCTCCGCGTTAAATATCGAATATCTATTTTCCGAGAAGTCTTGTGTTCAGCTTTGAAGATTGTGTGGTTATGGTCCGATGCCACTAAAGTCCCATGATGTCTTCATATCCGATGTTGTCCATTCCAACCTTGGCATTTAAATCTCCTGTGTTGGGCACTTCTCGACGATTGACTGCAGCCTATCGTAGAATTGATCTTTAACGTCTTCATTTTAGTCGTTGGTAGGCGCATAGCATTGGATGATGTTCATTGAAATGCCCTCTTTCTTTGTTTTGAAGGAGGCTTTGATAATTCTTGGTCCATGATATTCTCATCCTATAAGTGCATTTTGTGTTTGTTTTGATAGCATCAGTGCAACTCTTTGTGTATGTGGGGCGTCTTATTCTACAAGGTCGGAGTATAACAGAAGCTCCCCTGAAGATAGTCGTTGCTGTTCAACCTACATCAAATAAGTTACACCGATTCTGAGCACTCCCAGGTCGTATCTCCTCATTTCTGCAGTAATTTGAAAGACTCTCTCAGTCTCCCACATTGTTCGAGCATTCCGTGTACCTAAATAAATGGTTGCTCTGGTTGTAAGAAGGGGCATCAGCCTCCTGAAATCCGAAGGAACTCGGCCTTCACAATGAGGCGTCATAACTTCTAAATGAAGACCTTCTGACTCCCAGGGCAAAGTTTAAGTGATCTGAATAATTTTCTCTGATTAGCATTTTTTTAGCGATTTAGTTTTCTACGGGATGGGATCTCTAACCACATGCCCAACCCTCCTCCTTTGTCCAGGCTTGGGACCGGCAGTAGCCCCAGAGGGGCCCCAGGCGGAGTTACAGACCTAATAACAACGCGGATCATACCTCCAGTGTAATGTAGAACGGCCTAAAATAATACATTAGCGCCGCTATAATCTCTAGCTACATGCCGTAGCCAGTAAAAGTAGAAGCATAGATGACTGCGATACAGCTTAATAATAATAGTATATTCTCAAATAACAATATTTTAAATAAGGCATTTCAGTTTACAGAAAACATCTCATTTTTACAAATACTACAGGTCTTACTTTTGCAAGTTACTCAATTAGGTTGATTTGTTATAATTTACATTTGTCACGGAAAACAGGGGATACATTTTCACACATTAAAATATTGATGTAAGTATGTCTTTTATGATCAATATAAGAGTTAGCGCTTTGTGGAAGTTACGCTGCGATAAGCTACTAGTGGTTGAGAATGAATGTACTTAAAGTCTAGGGCTGTTCATAACGATAGGTTATGTAGTAAACGCATAATCAAACCACATGCAAACCATAAATTTGTTTCCTCCGTACAGTTTCCATCACAGAGTACTCCCACCCTTTCCTCCTGGGTAAACTCCCCGATCAACTTCACCAGCTCATTTGATACATCTCCCAATAAGTTTAACTATCAAAATACCGAGCTAATGAAGAACATCCAATCCCTCACATCAAACTCATCTTACACTCGCGAGGGTTACGACGACTTTATCCGAAATACCCTCACCCATTTTAACTTAGTAGGCCACTTGCTTAATATATGTCTTATCAACGCTCGATCGATCTGCAACAAAAAGACGGATTTAGCCCTGTTTGTATCCATATATCAACCATCAGTTATTATGATATCTGAAGCATGGACTAACA